CCCAAAGCTTCATGTGGTATAGCCACTTTCTCTAGAGTTCTACAACATTTCCTTTTAGGCCTTGAGGCAAGAAATGACTCATTGTCCTTTATTTCTTTTACAGTAGAGCTTGATTGCCCACCAGGAAATCCCGAGAACACAGAGCACAAAAACCTCTTTTACTACCCCAACAATTCTAGGTCTACCTCGTGTTAATCATTTTATTTCCCACCATACTACTGCCAATCTCCATTCATCTAATTAGTAATCAATTAATTTCCATTCAACAATGACTGGTTCAACTTGTACTGCAACAAATTATAATTACCTGTAAGATTAAAGGATGAACCTGATCCCTTATACTGACATCCCTATTTCTCTTCATTGCCTCAACCAATCTTCTTGGGCTTCTACCCTATTCATTTACATCAACTACTCAATTATCAATAAGTTTAGGTATAGCAATCCCCTTCTCTAGGCAAGAAATGACTCATTGTCCTTTATTTCTTTTACAGTAGAGCTTGATTGTCCACCATGAAATTCCTAGAACACAGAGCACAGAAACCAAAGTCCTGGGTGTTATTAGGATTCTTTTAGTCCATGGTAGAGAGGTGGCTATCTCCTCATAAGAAAATTGGGGTGATTTTAGGATGAGGCCTTGACAGCTAGGCTGCCAAAAATACTTATAAATACTTATTATAAGCTGTTTAGCCAAGGATAGATGTGTTTAGGCCTTGAGGCAAGAAATGACTCATTGTCCTTTATTTCTTTTACAGTAGAGCTTGATTGTCCACCATGAAATTCCTAGAACACAGAGCACAGAAACCAAAGTCCTGGGTGTTATTAGGATTCTTTTAGTCCATGGTAGAGAGGTGGCTATCTCCTCATAAGAAAATTGGGGTGATTTTAGGATGAGGCCTTGACAGCTAGGCTGCCAAAAATACTTATAAATACTTATTATAAGCTGTTTAGCCAAGGATAGATGTGGGGCTAATTTATGAAAACCTCTTGCTGAAATAGCAAGAAATAAAACATAAGTCTTAGGAAACTTATCAGGAGATTCTACAATATAGTAAAATAATCTGATTATATTCCTATCTCCTCTGCCAGATGGTAAGCAGTTTGAAGGCAGAAACTGTGTCATATTCTTTAAAAATATAACTTTGAATTATCTAAGTGATTCATGAATATCATTTTTATAAAAATAAAAGTGACTAATAATGTTGAAATCTCCTTTGACTATCACAACCAAACTAGTTTGCCCCCTCCTTCCCATTACCCACATGCCAGGCACACAAAGGTGGTTCACATGATGCTTGTTGACCTGCATGGGAGAGATCCAGAGTGGAAACTGAGAGAGGTTCAGCAGGCAGCAGGTGGTAGGGTGGGGGTGACTGACCCCTACCTGCCCCAATCTGGCCAAGCACCCTCTCTCTGCACCACTGCCTGCAGGGCTACAAAAATTTTTTGGCTTGTCATGGATTGCCAAACTGTGATATACAGCAGAGTTGATGTAAACTTCCACACTTTCTAGAGGATAGTTTTACTACTCTCATCAGAGTTGTGGTCATATTTCCATGGGTTTAATCTAGTTTTGCTGGAGATGCTTCTCCAGGTCTACTGCTGGTCCTTGAAGGTGGAGACTCAGGACTATCAAATTTTACCAAAATCATTTCTCCTTCAAAGGAAAGGGTGAGGATAGAAGATGAGGACATCCTCTGGTCAGGTATCGCCAGACATAGACGAACATGATCAGGAATCGGGGGATGTGAATCAGAATGGGCAGTGGGACAGGAACAGAGAAGTCAGACATGTACCAAGTAAGAAGGTGGTGTTGACCTTCCTAAGCCCACCGGTTCAACCAATGACTGAGGCCCATGGTCTGGGTACAACTGGAAAGTGATGAGTACAAGTCAAGGACTTCCTCTTGGTTGAAAAAGCAAGGTCAAGAGGGAGGATGAAGAGTAGAAAAATGAAGAGAATCAATCAACCCTTTCTCAGCAAGACTTTGACCAAGTCACTTCCCTTCTGTACTTCTTTAGACCCATACCCCTCCAGTGGGTATATGAATAACAGCCCATAACATGGTATTTATGAGTCACTCTTCAGGATGAAGAGTGAGAGACTGTTCATGAATGGGGATCAGCCCTCTAGTGGTCCTTTCTCTTGGGCCCTCTGTTCAATCACTGATTTGCTGGCAATTTCTTTCAGTGTTGAATGCCTGTTTGTCTCACTGGGTGGAATTTACTTAAAATTCTTATCTGGGGTACATGCAGTAAGTGGAGAAAAATGTAAGACATTTTTTTCTTTGGTCATTACTAACGAGCCCTGAGGAAAAAGCCTGAGTGGCTTGTGTTAATCATTAAACTTGCCCATGGTCAGGTCTGAACTTTTACTCTGGTACATATTTGGCTGGGACACAAACGAGTTAGGTGAGTTATAGTCTAACGTGAGCGAGTTACCTGCGTGGTTGCTTCAGGCTGAGCTCTAACCAGATAACACGGCCGTCGGTTCTTGACAGAGAGAAATAAGATCACTTAGAAAGAAAGGATCATTTCTCCCTTGAGTCACAAGGAGACAGAAACAGAAAAAGAAAGGTACTGTTTGATCCAGAAAAGTCTCTGCTCTCTGTTTTCTAGGTGTTGTATCTCTTGTTAACGTTCTGGTGAACAAAAGGAAGAAATGGGAGATCTATAGCAGTGCCTTGCAGCTTTGTCCCTCGATGTCCCAAAGGAGCAGCTGAGAGGGAAGGGAAGAAGAAGGGAAGAGGGAGTGAGAGCAGAGAGAGGAGGGAGAGAGGAGGAGAACAAAAACGTGACTAAATAAATGCACACAGCTCTCCTCTGTGGTTGAAAAATTTTAGTTATGAGAAATAGAGTTTGAGTTTATTTTTAGGAAGAATTAGTAGATAGACTAATAAAAAATTACATTTATAACTGACATGAAAAAGATGCTGTTTTGAATGTAGGGTTTTAAGAAAACCAATGTGAGAATGTTCATTTCCATTGTTCTAAGCTTGGGAGTAGGCGTTAAGAAGAAATGTTAAAGTCATGTAGCCAGATTGAAAATAGACTCTCCCGCGCTGAGTATATTTTGTCTGTGTAACAAGCAAGTCAGATCTTGTGCTTTTGGACTAAGTAGCAAATACACTTGGGTACTTTTCCCTATGCAGTAGATGTATTCTGAAAATGGAATATTTATAAGTTGAATTCTATTTCAAATAGATGTAAAAGTTTGGGAATTTTGCAACGAAAAGGAACACTTGCTGAATCCACTTGAAAATACTAGAATTCCTTTCTTAAATCCAAGTAGCCTCCACACTTACCTTATCTGGTAATGAGGGGGGTTGAGTGGGGGCAGGTACACAGACTATCTGTTTGTTTTCCCAACTCTTAGTACAGTGCTTAGCATGTAGTGGGCATAAAATAAATGTTTGCAGTGTTGTATTAAATAGATGTGATTATAGATTTTGAGCTGTCTCAATCAGAACATGCCTGTAAGGTAAGTTTATTGCAAGTTTTTTGCAGATTTTTTTTTGGGGGGGAGTGTTTTGTGGCTTTTATGTTTTCAGAAATGATGTAACTACCTCTGCTAATCTCAGTATTTTCTTAAAAATATAAATTAAATGGCCAGGTGTGGTAGCTCACGCCTGTAATCCCAGCACTTTGGGAGGCTGAGGCAGGGAGATCACTTGAGGCCAGGAGTTCAAGACCAACCTGGCTATCATGGTGGAAACCCATCTCTACAAAAAATACAAACATCAGCCGGGCGTGGTGGCACACACCTCTAATCCCAGCTACTTGGGAGGCTGAGGCATAAGAATCTCTGGAATCTGGGAGGTGGAGGTTACAGTGAACTGACATCATGCCACTCCAGCCTGAATGACAGAATGAGACCCTGCCACCCCCACACCCCCCACACAAAGTGTGTGTGTATGTGTATATATATTAAATATATTTATATTTGTATATGTAATAAACATAAGCATAATTAAATATATATGTAAAACGTGTATTTAGTAGTACATGTGGTTGTTTAATTCTGTAATTTTCAAACTTTCAGAAAATTTCAGAGGCGCTATTTTTAAGAGGATTTTGTCTATGCCCTCTGCCATGGGGTGCTGGAGAGCAGCTCGGCACTCTCCCTAGAGCAGGCGTTAGGGTGCAAAGGCGTAGTTTTCCGCCAGGCTTCCAAGGACTCTGCCATCCCACAGGAGAGTGCAAGCTGTTCATCTCAGATTAGGTAAACCCAGATTTAGGGTATTTAAATATGTATTCATCCACTCCAATGTACTAAGCCCTGTGTGGGACCTTCACACTTTCACACTAGGAAGGCTGTGGAAATAGCCGAGGAAAGAATCAGCGGAGGAGGGGCTCCTGAGCAGCCCCACGAAGGTGCGCCAGGATCTCCTGAGACCACGGAGAGAGTTGAGGGAATCCAGGAAGGGACCAGCAGGGGCCAAGGCAGAGGCTGATGTGTGGAAGGCTTGTCTGAGTGACGGTGAGAACAGCGTGGCTGCAGTGCAGGGTTCAAACTGGAGAGCAGCACGAGGGAAAGCTGGAACGGCAGCACAGGGCAAAACAAAACAGACTCCACCCCACCACGAACTAGAATTGTAATTTCTAGAATTCTTTTTAAAGCATGCTTCTATTCAATAATGAGTTAATGAAAAAGGTTATTATTATTTATCTAGCTTAAAATGAGTTGATGGGACACGCATACAATAAGCTGGTGGCACATGGAGGGCAGAGTGGGGATGATTTTATGCAAGGTTCTTAGACGATCCTTTTCTCCTGAACTTGGAAAGATGGTGGGTCCATTTGAAGACACTAAGACCATGTTTACCTCATCTCCTTAATTTTCCAGGTTTCAGTATAGCAAAATAATAGTATGTAAACAAAACGGTAATTTTTTTACGTCTTTTATTTTTTAGAAGGCACAAAAGCTATGCTGCTCCAATCAAAACTGAAAATGTTTTTAATGTCTGAGCAATCTTAAGAGTATTGATTTAAGTGGACAGGATGACTGCGTGGCTGATCTCTCTGATGGGTGTTCAAGCACTACTTTTGGCAGGTCAGTAGAATGTGTTTTGAAGGAGTTATAGATAACACAATAGGTTACCTTGAGAACTAATATTGAAACTTGAAGTATTATTTTGGTTGTATACCATAAATATATGCATTTTTAACTTGCCAATCAAAAAATTGAATTAAAAATATTGTTTTTAGAGGAGGTGTTAAAGTATTTGCTTTTGGGTTTAAATTATCTGTTGGATAATTGATTTTTTTGGTTGTTGTTTAACAGTTGAGGTTACATACTGAAATGTTATGACTGTATACTTCAGTTTTTAATGGCCAGTGATGATGCAGAGCTTTTAACAATAACTTACAATCTTTCTTTTATAATTCCTTTTGGGCTACGTGATGTAATTCTTTTTAGATTTTACTGCCCGACCTTCCCAAAGAGAATAACTTGTCGTAATAATTAGACTGCTTGTGTTATCTCAAATCATCTGTTCAATTTTCTCTGCGAATGGGGGTTATCCTCTGTATTTTTTATGGCATTTGTTTTTGGGCTTCTTTAGATAGAGGTATCTAATCATCTTTGGAGGAAGGTCTAGTCTGGCTGGGGCTGCCATAAATGGCTGTGCTAATGTGCCATGGTTCCCCACCACCCTCAGATGTGAAGTGCGTCATGAGAATAACTGTATATGGAAGTCCTGGGCTAGACACAGTTTCTGATAAAGAAACTATAAATAGTTCTGTCGGTAACACTTTCCTTGTTTATTACCTCACTGAGCAGCTGAGTGAGTTTTGCTGGCTTCCTTAACTTGGCCTTTCCTTCATTAAGGCATGTCCAGGAACATCTTCAAAGATGGAGGGATTGATTAAGGCCCATGCTTAGCTGGTGATCTATATGGGAGAATCCAATCTAGCCTAGCATATAAATTCCTTACTGCTTTTTTTTTTTTTTAAACAAAAGGAAATTCCAGCAATGATCCATGCTTCATCCCCTCTCTCAGCAGGCACGGCAAAAATCTAGGGAATTTTGTATTCATTTGGGAAGACATTCTCATCATGAGGGGAAACTAGAGGACAGTATATTAAGCAGGAGAATTGAAATAGGAACAGCTTCTATTAGGTTGGTGCAAAAGTAATTGCAGTTTTGCCATTAAAAAGAATGCAAAACAGCAATTACTTCTGCACAAACCTAATGGAAGTCTTTTTTTTCTCTCCGGGACTGGAGATAATTGGTGATCTTTACAGGGAAATATGGCCACCTGATTAAAGAGTGGAAAAGAGAGCACAGAGAGATAGTATGGGTTTCATTAGGACCCAAATATGTCCCTGAGGCTCTTTCCAAAGGAAGTAGAAATTCAGAATTGTCCTGATGAATGCAGGGTTTTTGAATGTCTAAGATGAGAAGAATTGGTTAAAATTTTCCTTAAAATGGGGCTTCCGATGATGTGTTTCCCACACCAGCAGCACCTGGTTAGAAATATAAGTTCTTGGCCCTGCCCCAGACCTACTGAGCCAGAAACTCTGGGGATATGGCGCAGCAACCTGTGCTTAATCAAACCTTTCTAGTGATTCTAATGCAGGTTAAATTTTGCTTTAAAATATTGGGGAAGGCAGTGGTTGAATCTGACCTTCAAAACCAATGTTTTTTTTTCACTTACTTACAGTACCTCACCTGAGTTTACATATTGAACCTGAAGAAGGTAGCCTTGCAGGGGGAACGTGGATTACAGTCATTTTTGATGGTAGGTTGGGGTTTTACCAAGTGCATGTTTCTTACGTATTGACCCACAATCCTAAAGAATGTGAGTCTTTGGTTTTCTTCCTTGTCTAAGGACAGGTGTAAAAGTGGGCCCGAAGGGAGATGAACAGACGGACCAACTTCTGTCTTTCTAGATACTGGCTTGCTAATGTCACGGAAGCAAAGCACAGTGTGCCATGACGCATCTGTGTCCACTTTCCCATTCCAGGCTATGGGATGGGACTCTGGGATTTCTGCATGAGATGATGTGGAAGTGTGTAGCATAGTGCTCAGCAATGCATCTCCCAGAACCTTGGCTATCTTCCTTAAAGACAGTCCTCTACTTGGGAGCTTCTACATCATTCCTTTGAATATCCATCCCCAGCAGAGTAAAGAGTAAATCTGAGGGCTGAAAAATTCTTTTCTGGATTTAGGTGAACCTGAAGAGAGAAAACTCTTTCATAAAATCATAAATGAGAAAACTCCTTTATACAGAAGCTATGAGGAAATTAGGAGTATTAATTTAATCCTTGGGTAAATTTAATGTCTTACATTGCCCCCAGGATCTTAGCACAGCTTCACACTATCCTGTGTCGATGACAATTCTATTCAGCCTGAGATTTCTTTCCCTTGCGTTAGGTTTGGAGTCGGGTGTTCTTTACCCCAACAATGGCTCTCAATTGGAAATACACCTGGTGAACACGAACATGGTGGCGCCCGCACTGCCGAGTATCCCCTGTGACGTCTTTCCTGTTTTCTTGGATTTGCCTGTGGTGACGTGCCGGACCAGGTATAACTGTCTGGGAATAGGAAGACCAGACAGGAAGAGGGATTTTTGCTTATCTCAGTATCTTTTGGTGACATATTAGAGCAACTTTTGCTGTGATTCAATTGCCAGTTATAGTTGTTAAAAAAAGTTTCATGTGAATATACTTTCTAAAAGGTCCCTAGCTGGGATCTAGAGCTTAAGGGAGGATGAGAGTATGGGGAAGAACTTTGAGATATTCATAAGGAGGGGCTGGATTGTGTTTCCATTTTTTTTTCTTTTTGCAGAGTTCTATGGCTATTAAGATTTTAATAAATGGTGCCATTTTGCCATTGCAAATACTCATCTTTTGGAATAGGCATAATTACAATGATTGCACATAAACCCCAAACTGGTTAGAAAGGAAATTTGCTTTAGGCTCTATTTGCTGAGTTTGACATTACTTCTAGAAAATATTTTTATAGGACTCCAGGGGCTCTATTTTCCTACTCAACTTCTTGTTGCCCTGTGAAGTTTAGACTAGTTAATGTTCATTTTTATTTACTCATGTCTTAGGCATGAGTAAATAAAGTGCATAAAAGTGGATGATTGGTTAAGAGAAAAAAAACCACGTTATTTCCTTTTCTTTTCTGTTCTCTCTTTGAGGAAGTCTCCCCCTCTTCCATGTTTGGCTATCAAAATCACCAATCATACCGCATATGCCACCTCTTCCCTGAACACTCAACTAAGTTTTCTTTCCCTTTTTTGAAATGAGAAGGAACAACTTGTAGTAATTCATCCACAGGGTGTATGTGTGTGCACCCACACTTTTTTGCGCAATTCATCACCGCTGAAGGAATTTTTTATTTTTGTAATTTACACAAAGGTACAACATGTGTAGCCTTAGTGACCCTGTGCCTCAGCTCTGAGTTTCTCATAACACTTACATGTCAGTTACCCACTTGTCAGATTCATCCTCACAGACTTAAGTGCTTTGAGGGCCGGGAGTGTGTTTAATCTCACCATTGTAGTCCTCATGATGCATTGCGCATTACCTTAAGAATAGAAGGTGTTCAATAAATGTCTGTTGAGTTTAACTTTTTTATAGCACTACTATTGGTTTTAAAACTGGGTTATATATTTCCCTTAGGTTTTATGGTGCATTTGGGCATAGACATTCTGCAAAGACTTGCCATAAAATAAGTCAAAGCTCTGGAGATTTACATGTCCTATCTCCTTTATCCCAATATACTAATGATTTTTAGATGCACCATTGATTTTATGTCATCTTTTTAAAGAAAAGAAATATGACCCTATTAAATATACTAATTGATTGGAAGACAAATATCAGATTCAATTAAGTGTGAAAAATGTACAGTTTATCATCAACAAAATACTGTCTTACTCATCATTATCATAAAAACACATAATTGTTTTCTCTAAAACAGCCATTGCAGCGTCAAAAGCAGCACTTCACAATCAAAATATAATGTGAACACAAACGTAATTTAAAATTTTCTATTTAGCCACTTGAAAAAGTCAAAAGAAGCAAGTGAAATTAATTTAATAATGTATTTTATTTAAGTCAACATATCTAAAATATTATTTCAATATGTAATATATACAAATTAATAATGAGATACTTTATATCTTTTTGCATACCAAGTCTTCAAAATTTAGTGTGGATGTTATAATCATGGCATATCTTAATTGGGACTACCCACATTTCAAGTGCTTGATAAGCACATAAGACTAGTGGCTAACACAATGGACAATTCAGATCTAAATATTTAAGGTCATACTAAAGATTTTGTTGGAAAGGTTTGGAGAGGAGACACGTCTTAAATATAACTTCTTTCTTATTCATCATATTCTTCCTCTTACAAAAATCAACATGGATGTCAGCATCAGGTGGCAATGAAGCCACTGCAAAATTTATGTAGAGGAGAGAAGATCCAGGACTCTCTGTTTTGATGGCTACATGAAGTGTTTATGGGCTGCTTGGACAATTATCAGAAAGAGGCTAGATTCAAGCTCCACTTTGCCCTTAACCTTTGAAGCTCCTACACATAAGTCTCTTAGTTTTTCTGACATTTTTTAAACCATGAAAATGGGGAATTATCAAAGTCTCTTCTAATTCTTAAAGTCCGATGAACCTATGATTCTGAGAAACATGAAATATTAAAAACAATTCAGGGAGTTTCAACACAAAAAATCATAACTTTTTTTTGCTGAAGGACTCAGTTCTTAAAGTCTAATAATTATGATTGGATCTAAGGTGAAAGGTGGCTGATAAGAATCCTTGGTTAGCTCTGTTTTACAAGTTCAGGGAGGAAATTTGAAGTGGCAAGTGGGCTGTTAGCTTTGGGAATTCATGGCTTTTGAGTCATAAGGATTTCCACTTTCTGGCCTCAGATCTCTGCTGTCTGAAGCACACGAGGGTCTGTACTCCCTGGAAGCATACTTCAGGGAACAGTTGGTAAGCAGCCCAAGTCCAGGATCACGAGACAGCTGTACTTTCAAGGTGGGTTCTAAGGTTGGAGGAAGGTATGTTTACATAGTCGGAGGGTGTGCTTGTGTTATTGAAAGGCAAATTGTAAATGAGCCACAGTGTTTGCTTGACCGTGTTAAAAGAAAATGGTGGATAGTAATGAGAGAGTTTCTTAGAGCATACTAATGAAAGATGAATTTTGAACTCTTGTATGTCAGCCTTTAGCTAAATGCTTTATGTACATTATCTAATTCAATGCTCACAATTTTATGGGGTAGCTATTCACTGTCCTGTTTTTACAAATGAACAATCTGAGGCTCAGGGAGATTAAATAATTTGCCCATGTCATCAGGTAGTAAACTGGCAGAACCAAGACTTGAACCTGCATCTGACTCTAAATTCTCATCTAAACGGAAGCCCATAGAGGGGCCACCAAGATTACCTTTGTGGATCAGTGTTTCATTTTACAGCTCGGATCATGCTGAGTCTCAGCATGGTGAAGACACTCAAGGACCCACATTTCTTACTGAGGAGACCCAATTTCTACCTCTCTCCCTGCTTCCTGGTATATTTCTGTTAAGTCTTTCCAACACTGAACCAAAAGGGCATTTGCTGTTTAAATTCTCCTTCTTGCTGGGGGAGATCAAAAAGGAAGTAAAGAGAGAGAGAGAGAGTTTAGGAAGCCATGCCTGTCTTATTTTACAGCCTTGATACCTATACTGGGAGTTCATTTATATTTGGTTCAGTCTATTGTCCATTTCAGATTAGTTTTAAACGATCTCCGAAAAGGTAAGTCCTAGATGGTTTATGAAAGGCAGAGATTTGGCAGTACTTCTGTCAATGTGGTTGCAGTTCACCTGGGGTACCTCTGTTTAAAGCTGTTTCAAAACATACAATGCAGTCACTAATGAATGCTCCTTCAGAATAAGGCTTCACCTTGTAAATTCGTCTCTCCTACGATCCGTGTTCCATATAGGCTATTTGTTTTTGAAATGTGGAATTTGCTGTTGCTTCACGTTTAATAACTTGTTTCTTAATCCAAGAGAATCTTGTTTTCTGGAATTTTGCTTTTGCACGTATGCAGCAGAAAGAAAAAACATTATATCATTCTTTCTTACTAAGAGCCGCACCACCACCTCTATCCTGTCTCAGGGAACATAACAGAAGAGAGAAGTCCAAGCATGCTTCTTAATCACCATGATCCTTTTCACCCCAGATGGTAGTTTTCCTGCTTATTAAAAGATCGGTTAGGAGCGAGAGGGGGAAATAAAAGAAACACTTCCTAAAATTGCACATGAAAGAAAACAAGTCCGTCAGTGGTTCAACTATCTTGGCAAGTTGATGAAAAATCACCAGGGGATGCAGTTAATGAGAAGCATTCCAAGCTAAATAAAACACGGCGTGTCTCTTTGTTTTGGGACTGGGACTGGGGAACCATGAGTATTAAAAATTAATCCCATCTTGCCAGTCCACTGCAAAGGGCCTGCTGTGGGCGCTGACAAGTTTGAATAACTCACAGAAGGTTGATCACACAGCTGGTGGCTGCAGCTTTCTCATCCTAATCTGCTGTATTTCCTCTCCTCTCTCCTGCTTCTACTGACCACACTGGGGCCCAAGGATCAGCATGCGGGAAGCTTGATTTGGAAGCTCATTAATTTTTCACTTTGTCATGTCTCTAGCCTGGTGGGTGACCAGGGGTCTGTTTCTCTTAGATATGTACCATGTTACGTTGTGTCAGCTCAGAGAGAATCACAAGTGAAGCCCTGTTTGAGGTTTAACCCCAAGGCTGCCTCACCACAATCTCAGGTGCTGGGAGGGAGTAATAAAGGGGTTGCTCTGTTTCCCATGGAAGTCTGGTAGAAGGATTATAGACTGAGTGCTGGTTCTTAGATTTCAGGTTGAAATAGAGAGGTATGCTTCCTTATTTGGTTTGGACTCAGTTGTTCCAGGTGCCTCAGCTTCTAAACATCTGTGAGATAGGTCAATAACCACTACTGTACTTCACTAGGCTCCTATGATATAGTCCAGTTGAAATAATGTTGGTATGAAGGCCTAGGGGCAGTGATTGACTGGGAGGCTGGGGTGGGGACTGAATGTTTGGCAGGTGTGTGTGTAACTGTATTAATCTTTATCTTTTGGTGTGATCACAGCCAGTTCCCAAGCTGTGAAGTAACAACATTGTTATTCTGACCCCCTGACAGCACATATTTTCTGTGAACTATTTTCTAACCCTTTCCTTTAGAAAGTGAGGAAATTAGCCTTCACGGCAGACTATACAGCATATGGATCAATACTTAAAACCTATGCCTGGCAAGCCACCATCAGCTTTGTTGAAATGTCTGTTGATTCTCAATGTCTGATTAGGGCTGTTGATTAACAACTGAGTTATTGTTTGGTGATATTCTCTCTGGGAATCCTGAGGTTCTGAAAGAAGACCAAACAAAACAATTTGCTGCTGTAATTTGTTTTGCAAATGGGAAGCACTGTAGGTTGCATGGAATGGTGGTAGTCTAGGCATCTAGAAGGGGTTGGCGAGGGGGAGGGAGGAGGAGACTAGGTCTCTTCCTAGGTAAGTCATTGGCTCACAGGTCAAGCCTTGGTCTGGCCAGTCCATCACATTGGCCCTGGTGTGATTTCCTGATGGAATAATGCACTAATCTTAGATTAACCCAGATGACTACAGGTGAGATGGAGTTCCTGAGATTGTCTCATTCTCACCTCTCCTTCCAGGCAGTATATCAGTCATCCCAGATTGGGTGAGTCTATCCATTCACAAAAATTCAAATGTCATCTACATACTAGTCTATGCACAGAGACACAGCAGCGACTCAGTCAGGCATTGTCCCTGCCTTTATGGAGCTTATGGTCAGCAGAGGGTGTGCTTTGGAGACAGGGGGCATTGTAAGATGATTTGGAGTGCCACTGCCAGGCTTTCTCAGGCTCCCACTGCTCCCATTGATGCTGCTTTCCTCCTTCTTGAAGAACAATGTTGCTTCCCATTCCTTGAATCTTTTGAGTCATTTTCCTCACAGCAGGTACCTTCCACTTCTCTAGTAAGTGCCTCAGTTGTGTACCTATCCAGCTTCTCATTTTTTGTAGCTTACTGATACCTACCAAGGTGCTGGCTGTTAATGATTTAAGTTTTGATCCAATTAAATAAGTGCATTCCTTTCTAGAAAAATCAAAATCTTCAAGGCCTCAAAACATCAAATTACAACAATGGAATTAAAAGACTGATGTTCTGCATGAAGACCTGTCTACCTTTCTTTCTAGTAACATGTGTTCTTGGGTATGGAAGGTGGGCAGGTGGAAATAGGCTTGTCAAGGTTTGGACAATATGGTACTAGAATAGAGGGCTATGTGACCTTAATCAAATTACCTCTACCTCATCTATAGGAGAAATATGATAATATCCATCATTCCTGTTTCATAGAAATATTACAAGGATAAAAAGAACTAGAAAGATATGAGGGTGACACAAGGAAATGTAACCATTTATTACCTTCAAGTAATGCTGTCTGAGGAATGGCTTGTGCCTCCTGTGTTTGTGAATATTTTAATGACATGCTCACTTGTGGTACTATTTTCTAAACAGTTTTCCAAGGCGCAGACACCCATCGTTCACCAAGTTTATCCGCCAAGTGGAGTTCCAGGTAAGAAATCTTCTATTAAAATAGGAATAATTGTGAATCTCTTTGCCAAAGCTTGTTGCAAACCTAGGTGGGTGGTTTTTATGAGTGGGAAAATTTAGCTTCTTCTTTGATGCTGTTTTGAAAATAAGACTCAACCTCTGGTTCATTTTTAACGTGCTTTGGTTTTACTTCTGGGCACTTTTGCTCTGTTACTTCACTGATAACAAAAGGAATGCAAACATGAAAAGAAAAAGAGGACAGCAAAATCAAAAGAGTTGATGTTGGAGACTGGAGAAAAGAGGAGTCATCCTTGCTTTTAACTTTATAATCATTCACATAATAATAAACCTTTATTAAACTGTGTGCCAGGATCCAGTCTAAGCTCTTCAGATGTCTCACTAGATCCTCGCAAAAACCTGATAATAGAAGAGCTATTTTTATTCCCATTTTGCAGATGAAGAAATGAGGTAGCAAAAGGTTAAGGAATTTGCCAAAAGTCATACAGATAATAAATACCACAGTTGAGATTTGAACCAGACAGCCGGAATCCAGAGTGGCCCATATATTCACCATTTTGTCGTTAACTTTAGTCTTCATCTGGGGGTTTTGTTTATAAAGTTAGAGAGCACACAGATATATAAAAGCCAGGAGGATAGAAAAGAAGATTATATAAAGCTG